AAATAGAATTTCAAACTATATGGAGGGTACATTTTGTCAGCTAGTTATTTGAATGTTCTTACACGGAGTTGCAAAAATGTGTCATGATATTTGCTAATTTGTTAGCGGTTGCATTCAATCTTTACATTAATTATATAGGAAGTACAGAATAAATTTTAGCTATGCAATTTCAAATTATAAGGCACGTGCCGTACTTTTATACTTGTACTACAAGTTGTAGGGATGTGTGTAAATGGTATATGGGGACACTTCGTATCCATAAAATCATGCAAATACAGCATACACACAAATCTAAAAGCGGCTTTCTTATTAGCATAGATAAAACACTCACGTTCAAAGTTGTTGACGACGTGCACGATACAGAGGTCTGTGAGGAGCGGGACGGTGGCCAGGGACCACTCAGGGTCCTCGGCGATGATCCTCCTCATGGTGCGGGGGTCTGCAGAGGGGTTGTCCTTGGCAGTAGTGACAGGAGACGGGACGCCATCCTTGCCCTTCGTTTTACTTTTCGCCGATCCACCTTTACTCTTGCCACTTTTCACACTCCCCGGTCCGCTTTTTGACCCGTTCTGAGCGAGTGGAGGCTCCGCCATCGTTACAGACACTTCACAATACAGGAAAACCGGTAAGATTTGCTGTAAACCAGACAAAACTTGTGTTGTACACTGTGATCAACAAGCCACCTTCGTCCTTTCTGTCCTGTTGTTTATCTAGTTGCTAGGGGCGACTCTGTGAGTCTCGTTTCCAGTCCTACCAGTCTCGTACCCAGGGTACTTTGGCATAACCTTTGACCTGCAAAGAAAGCAAAATGGCGGCTAACATGTGAAATTTCATTTCCCGCGAAATATTGCCGTATAGAGTTCGCGTATTCCTCCAGAAAGGATGTATTCTGCCCGACCAAAGCCAGAGGACACAGAGGAAGATCTTCTCAAGTCACAGAGAGAATTTCTTGCCGCTGAAACCGCTGGATCTGCAAAAGTCGTCAGAAAACCGGAACAACGTGATCGTGAGAAGCAGACGACAGCGAGAGATGTTGTTGATTTGGAAGGCGGAGGTATGATATTATGATTTATATACCTTCGACAAGAAGGTTTAATTACTTTTCTGTAGCATTGCTGTGTTAATGGTTCCTTATTCCATTGCCTTGTTTTCCTACAAGTCATTAAGCGTAACGATTTTCATATAATATTTTCTTAACTATAAATTATGGTAAACCAAGGAATAGATTTCTTTAGTTTGTTTTTCTTATACTGAACATTGTTTCTTGCAGGTCTTCCACCACAGCTACCATCATTTGAGACTGGGCCCAAACCTTCCAAGAAAACATCCAGGTTCAAGCAGAGACGAAAAAAGGTTTGCCTCTTACGAATTACTTTCTATTCATTTTCCATATCATATTCTGTACCTTTGTCACAAATAAGACTGATAGTAAGGCCGCATTGGGACTGTGGGGCCAGGTTGCATGCCTAGATGCAATACACAATGTTCATCTCAAGTACTACATTAGTATTACTGTATTACTAGAACAGGAAGAAACATCACAATAACGAATATCCCCACTGATCCACAGGTACAAGATGGGAAAAAGGAGGAAGAGTTTGATGCAGAGGAAGAGATGGAAAGTATGTGGACAATTCTTTGTTTATCACTTTCACTATTCTCTAGGCTTTATATGTTTTAATTTATTATTATTTCTTGAGTAATAAAGTATCCCTTATGTTTCCACAGCTCATGACACCCATGTCACCAAGGTGCTTACAGAGATAGTGGTAAGTTGTCACTACGCCGGCCACCTGTTCGAACACGTGTGAGCGCATGTGCCTGCGTTGTGTTTGAACAGGTGATCTATACCGGTACCGTTCGAGGGAAAGGGCTCTAGAACCGGCCAGTTAGGAATTGAATAAAGGAGTTGAGCTAAAGCCATTGATCAGTGCAGACGTGTGTCATCTTCGTCTTGTAACAATATAATGAGAATAATCTGTTGTAGACACATACAGCAGCCTCAAATCAATTTTCATATTCGCCATATACCAAACCTACATCTGTATGCAACAAATAATACATTTTTCCTTTTCTGTGTGTGGAGTACATGTATATGCTTTGTCATGATAACAATACTAGTAACTACAGTAGTCCTAAAAAGACTATGATTGGCTGCACAGGAAAGAGACACTAGTGGACAATCTGTGAGGCAGCCCCTGGCCACAGGCTTGGCTTTCCCCAAGGTGCTGCACAGACAACATGCAACTGCAGCAGCACAGGTCTCATATTACTTTGTTGTCATCATTTTACTCTAATGTATAGAGAGCTAAAATGTGAAAAGTAGCTTTGTATGTATGTTGGAGGTGGGAGTGTTCAGCAGGGACAAGTCTGTGTGTGGATGGTGTTCAGAACCAGGGACAGGTATGTCTGTGTGTGGATGGTGTTCAGCACCAGGGGCAGGTATGTTTGTGTGTGGATGGTGTCCAACACCAGGGACAGGTATGTATGTGGGTGTACAGTACCTTTTAGCCCTACTATGAAAAGATTTTATTGTGATAAGTATAACCTGTGTGTCTTTTTCTTCTCTAAGAATGAAAAGCCTGCGAAGCAAGCCAGCCTGTTTGCACAGCAGTTCTTTGCAGTGTCTCCAACATTGTTTGGACTTCCTGACCAGACTCAGGAGACAGAAAAGATGGAGACAGACCAAGGCAGCACACAGGCCATGGTGTTGGGATTTGGAGGTAGATTCCCAGTCCAGACTTTCTTTTACAGAAACCATTATTCAAACCTTCATTGTCTGAAAGTTTACATTCATCAATCTTAACTATGAATTTTAGACAACTCTTGACATAGTGCATGGTTCATTATATTGCTACATCAGTGTATACTCCAGTGCTACTAGTATGCTAAGCAATATAATGATACAAGAAAGGGAAAATGACGAAGCTCGAGTATGAGAGCAATATACGCATTCCTCAGTTATACAATGACAAAGTCCTAACAAAGTGTTGACTCAAACACTGTATATCAGACAATGAAGAATGTTCATGTTTTCCCAATGTGAATAATTACAGAAACCAGTTCCATACTGGAGGGCTCAGGACTCACCCATGGTAGAACAGCTGTAGAGACAGAAGTCCAGCAGATCCACCAGGAGAACGTGGCTCGGCTGGCGGCCATGACAGAGGAGCAGATTCAGCAGGAAAGGGACAAGCTACTGCAGACCCTTGGTACGTCTAGTGTTCGCTAGCTATTCTGTAGCAAAAGCTCAGGCATATTTACACTGGGTGAACGTCATCTTCATTCATACTCTTATAAATCTGGACAAGTTTGTTTTTTAAAGAAATGTAGTTGATCTTAATGGTGTACCAATTGCTTTGTAATTTTTGTCCCTTTTTTCAGATCCCAGTCTCATCCAGTTTCTGGCCTCCAAGAAAAAGCAGCCAACAGCAGAGACACAGCCCACAGGTGATATAAGCCCCCTAACTGCAGCTGGTGGGTACTGCAGACAAAGCCAGCTGCCCTGCTGCTTTTGGATCAGCTGTAACCAGTCTAACTGAGGAGGACAGACTGAGGAGTCTGGTTAGTGAGCAGGATAACTCTGAGGATGCTTTACTGGCTGAGATGGACACAGGGGTTCCATTACAAAGTCTGTAAACACAGTTAGCTATCAATCTGTATCTTTCAAAACTTTCAAACTGTATTGTACAACTAACCTTGCAGTCACTGAGAGTGAATTGTGATGATTTTCTTTTTCACATAAGTGCTGAGTGCAAAGCAGAGAGAGCAGTACCGTATGTACCATTTGTAAAGTTTTTGGTATGACCCAGCCACAAGCACTAAGCTGTGCATTGTTTCCACTTCATCAACATAAAGGTTACTACTCATTTTTATCTCTTCCATCAGAACAAGTGCCTATCCAACCCTCCAAAGACTGGTTGAACATGGACGTTGTGGAACATGAGAAGCTGGAGTG